TTGAAAAAACACTTTGTTTTACTTTTTTTACCCTTGGCCGGGATAAAATTACTGTTGCTTGTAGTTATTATACTGGGTCAAAAGTATGGAAACCCCAAAAATCTCAGCGGGAAATCATTTTTGGGATAAATGACGAGGTCAAATGTCCCTGAGATTGACTTTGAAGTTAAGGTCAAGGTTCAAGGTCATATCAAGATCAAGTCGGTTTTTTTAAATGTCGACTCTCCTTTTCGATCCCAGAAATGGAAAGAGCAGAAAATTCTGCATCCGAATATGACATTGACCGTGACCTTAAGGTCAATGATAAAGGTCAGTTCAAGGTCAAATTTCACTGTAACTACGGAATTAGAGGGAGTGACAGTCTTTGAGGAGATACCCGATGGTACTTTTTAGTGACCTTCATCTTGAGGTCAAGGCCGAAAGAACATGTCAAGGTCATATCGAATTTTGGAGTAGCGACCCCTTATTTCGTAGAATTCTACATGTTAATATCATCAAAAACGTGATATTAAGGTCAATGGTCAAGGTCAGGTAGAAGTCAAGTGATTATTCCGGCTGTAATATTTTACTGACCTTGACCATTGACCTTAAGGTCATGATCAATGTCATATTCGGATGAAGAATTTTCTGTTCTTTATTTCCGGGATCGAAAAGGAGGGTCGCCATTTGAAAAAGCCGACTTGATCTTGATATGACCTTGACCTTTGACTTTGACCTCAAGGTCAAGGTTACCATCGGACACACCGTGAAAAATGCTTTTATTATCATCATTTATCCCAAAAGTGATTTAACGCTGAGATTTTTGGGGGTTTCCATACTTTTGACTAACCCCGTATATCTCAAACTAACTTATATCAAAAATTCGGGCAAGCTGACCAAAACTGCGATTAAAATGCCTATTTAATTGGACTATAAGTACGTTTGCGAGTTATGTATTTGAAATTATCCGGGGAGTTTTTGAAATGATTGTGCAATAAAAATGAAGGATTGAATTAAAATTGTAATTCCTTCTGCCAAATGAGAAGCAGATTTAATAAGGAGATGCCTTCTACCCGATCCGAAACGATTTTAGCTTGTACTCGACACATCTGCCTCTCTCTCCATTTCAATGTTCCTAAGCCAACTAGCAACATTCTTGCGAAATGAAATACGAGCACACATCTGTTCAGCTTATTGTTGTATACAAGTTTCCAGGGCGAGGTACTTTTCTTTTTCGCAGATATCAGATATACACAAAGCGATAGTGTCCGATGATTCCACTTTTGCGGCAAATTACTTTTTAAGCGGATAATTTATGGCCTAACGGCTGCCTACCGCCGTACTAATAATTTATTCTATTCAGAACCAAATATTAAGATGTTACTGATACCAACTGCACTGTCTAATCTTAATTAGTTTACGTAGTTTAATTGGCGAGCTTCGCGCTGGAATCGCGTCTTTATTATCTAAGTCGAATTCGAGGAGATCCAACAGAACGTGGGGTAAAGGAAAGAAAATATTATCATTTTCTGAGATTCATTGTCCTTTTCCACGTGGAATCAAACAAGCCGTGAATCGGAAAATCAAAGGGGGATTTCGAAATTAATGAACCACTTCTGTCCAATGAAACAAGCGTTATGTGGCTAAGCAATTATCCCATTCATTTATCGAAATTACCCCGATCTAGAGCATATTCGAAACAAGAGCTTGATTTTGTTCAGTAGCGAAGTTATTATTCGAAAATTCCAAGAAACAATATAGCATTAAGTTGATTTAGAAACAATAGCAGAAATATTTGAAGAATTAATAATAATTAAAACGTTTTTGAAGAAATAAAGAATATACAGGGTGTAACTAAATAAGTGTAAAACATTTAAGGGGGTGATTCCTCATCGAAAAAAAGATAGGATCTTTCATATAAAGAAACTTCATTGGAGCATCCCTTGTTAAGATACAGCCCCTTAAAGGGGGTACATAAAATTTGTTTAACAATTTTTTTCACAAGCACTAAACAAGTTACAATATTGAAATTAACCTGACATTTTCTACTACCAAAAAGACACTTAGCCAGTAATTTATTTGGTTTACCCCATGGTAGTAAGGGGTGGAAAACGCAACCCCTAAAATTTATTTCCAACGTAATTTTTTGTCTTATTATTTTTTTACCATTTAAAAAATTATTTCCGATAGCCTGTTTCATTCTAAAAAAAAATGTCTCTTGAATTTTTTGCCCAAATTAAACCAGTTCGCAGTAAAAAATTATTTTACGAACAACTACAGAGATACATCGTCATAAATGCGGACTGGATTTACTGTTATTTTGTAGTTACTACCTGCATTAAATGATTAAAGGGGAATAATCAAAACTAATTTAATAATAACAAAACATACAACATGTAGAAATCATAGTAAATGTTCAATATGTCTACCTTCAGACATTACGCATGCGTCTAGACGTCGGCGCATTGAGCCACGTATTCGCTCAAATATTCCTGGAGTCTCTCTAATTACCCTGCACGCATCGATAATGCGGTTTCTTAAGTCCTCTACATCGCGAACAGGAGTACGATAAACCAAATGCTGCAAATGGCCCCAAGTAGACAAATCCAGAGGATTGAGATCCGGGGATCGAGCGGGCCAATTCTGTGGTCCTCCTCGACCTATCCACTGATTTGCATATGTTTCAGTTAAATGCTGACGTGCTACTTGACTAAAATGGGCGGGAGCCCCATCATGCATAAAAACCATATCCCTTCTGACGCCCAAAGGAACTTCCTCCAGCAGTACGGGGGGATGCACTTTTCTTAAAAATTGAACGTATGCCTCACCATTTAATCGAGGAGGTAGAAAATGAGGCCCAATTAAATAATCCCCAATAACTCCGACCCACACCTTAAGAGAAAACTGTTCTTGATGGTTAGTTTCGACAATAGCGTGATGGTTTTCATCAGCCCATATGTGGTAATTATGAAAATTAATAATCTTGTCCCGAGAAAAACTACATTCGTCTGTGAATTCGATCGTCTTCAGAAAGTCACGATTTCTTCTAATCATTTCCAGCATCCAATTGCAAAATTCAAGACGGTTCGGAAAGTCTCGCGGTAACAGTGCCTGTACTCGTTGCAGATGGTAAGGGTATAAGAGATGTTCCTTTAAAATTCGAAATACCGTCATATGATCAACATTTAGCTGGAAAGCAATCTTTCTAGTACTGGTAGTAGGTTGTTCTTCTATCAAATTAAGTACTGCTGCCTCAAGCTGTGGTGTTCTTACTTCTCGATGGCGACCACAATCCTGCGTTCTTTTGTTGAATGAACCATATTCACGTAATCGTTGATGAAGTCAGACAAATATTCTATGTGAAGGATGCTGCCGTTGAGGATACATTTCAGCATATCTTGTAGAAGCTTCTAACCCATTCCCCTGCGACAGACCGTAAACGTAATGCATATCAGCCATTTCCTCATTTGTGTATGCCATTTTAATAACAAGTGAATTATTAAAGTAACAAATTAAGAACAGAACAATACACAATTAGTATTACTTCAATTTCAAAAATTTACAAACTGACAGCTTGATTCCAATTTAATTGTCAGTATCGCTAATGGCGGCCTACTAGATAAATTAGTTTCGTATTTTCGTTTTATGGCGATATGTATCTTGTTCGTAAAATAATTTTTTGCTGCGAACTGGTTTAATTTGGGCAAAAAATTCAAGAGACATTTTTTTTTAGAATGAAACAGGCTATCGGAAATAAATTTTTAAATGGTAAAAAAATAATAAGACAAAAAATTACGTTGGAAATAAATTTTAGGGGTTGCGTTTTCCACCCCTTACAACCATGGGGTAAACCAAATAAATTACTGGCTAAGTGTCTTTTTGGTAGTAGAAAATGTCAGGTTAATTTCAATATTGTAACTTGTTTAGTGCTTTTGAAAAAAATTGTTAAACAAATTTTATGTACCCCCTTTAAGGGGCTGTATCTTAACAAGGGATGCTCCAATGAAGTTTCTTTATATGAACGATCCTATCTTTTTTTCGATGAGGAATCACCCCCTTAAATGTTTTACACTTATTTAGTTACACCCTGTATAGAGTCCCCAGTATAACTGCCGTGCATTCGATACTTTTTGTAGAAAATAACATAACCATAAATACTACATTATTTGCCTTTTTCACTCTGTTAAAAATTACATATTTTCAATTGATGGTAGTAAATTGTTGCCATCAGTTGTTAGTTGGTGGATAACCAGACCCACACTGTTGCCACAATAGCCACGGGACTGGTTTAAACTACCCCCACCGCTCCATTTTTAGCCTACGCCACTTAATCAATCCGAAAGGTTATATAAAGATGTACCTGCAAGTATTATGGGAACTTTTAAGGGCTTTAAGAACTGTTAGAGACGTATGTACAAAAGTTGTACAAAACGGGTCATATAGCCAGCCATAACAGGTTGTACAGCTGTTACAGCCTCAACAGCTCTTAAGGGTACTGCGGTTTTTATATAGCCCTTCTGATTGGTCAAGGGGCGTGTCCTAGAAGTTACTTGCAAAATCTAACAGAAAAATTTGGTTTTCCTGTTAAATATCTTTGAATTCTTCTAAGTCTTTTAAGACTTTTGTGTTTGTTTCGCGATGTTCTGTTACATAGGTATTGAAGTTACGACACTTATACTGCAGACACCTTGTATAAAAAATTATAAAACATCGTACAACCGCGCTGAAACTATGCACTCTTAGTATCCGATACCGCGTATATATAATTTTACGTTATTACAATCAGATGTTATTATTCTGAAATTTCGAAAGAAATTATGACTGTGTGTGATTGTGTATTTAAAAATATAGCCCCTGTATTTCACTGTTAACGGTAGAATAATTGAGGTATTGAAGCCTTTTAACTAGCGAGTGTGAAATACAGGAGCACATATTTTTAACAATTTACAATTCAAGTAAAGAAATTTACGTCACATACCGCATTCGCTTGTAATTCGAAATGATACCTTGACAATACTTACTGTACAGGCGAATCGTGCCGTCAGTCTCCCCCCTAGGGTTCTTGGCCACACACTTGTACGTTCCGTAGTCGTCCTGTTGTATGTTGTTGACTGTGAGGCGCATGTGAGTCTTGTACGAGGGGTTGCCAATTATATTTTCCGCATGGTATTTTTTACTTTCGTGGATCATCTGGCCGTCTTCGCGGGTCCAGTAATTGAGGGAGCTGGGGTGCGCCTCGGTGAAGCACTCTAGGGTTACGGAGTACGCCAGGGGGGCGCCCACGAGCTGGTGGGGAATCCACAACATTGGCGGAACTGAAACAATCGAACTATATTAGAAAACTGCGTTTTCCTATCTCCGCTGGTTGTAGAAGAGTCGTCGCATGATGGTTTAAAGTCTCACGTTAGGATTGTTCGCAATTAGAGTGGTAAGTTGTATCAGCGCACTATAGGCATTGCCGGTTGCTACCTTTTTAAAACAACTGTTACAGAGTGACAATGGAAAATAATTTAGTAGAACAGATTGCTTTTGTTTGGCTTAGCGACGTGTCATTTTAAAGTCATCATATTTTTTGATATCAATGTGGATGAAGACATAATTTATTAAATACTAACAAATAATGGTATCTAGATACGTTACTAATTGTAAATAAAATTAATTTATGTATTAAAGTAATTAAGTATTTTTGCCGTTCAATTCTGAATCTCAGTGTCAATGATTTCAGACATTGACTTACTTTAGCTGCACTATAGTGCTGCTACTAAGTAAAGTAGATGCACAGAGGAAAGCTAAAACAGGTAATACTAAAAAGTTATAAAATTCTAACCAAAATACGACGTTTCTACTCTTCTGTCTTATTTTATCATTTCATCATCCAATCGATGCTGGACTTATTAAAATAATAAGTAAACAAAACAGCAACAAAATTAAATCGTGAACAGTTTGAATTTTAAGCAGAATCCGATCTTGTTCTGAACGGTTACAAAGTGCAACGGAGGTCAGCCTCTGCTGCTCAGTTAAAATTCCGAACAGCCCCCTCTGAAAAGCCGCTAGTGACTTCACACATGTTGTAATATGAAGGGATGGTAAACGGGTAAAAAATAAACTATGCCACTTTAATTTAGCGAAACGGGAACGGCCGAATAATTCAGTTTTCACCACTAAATTTGATTAAATATATTGGTATTAATAAGTATCAATCTACTAATATCGAAATTTCAGAGTTTAAAATTATTAAGAGATAATCTCAAAGTTAGTTTACAAAAGCAAGCACTTTGGGTTTTGCAGGATCAACAACAGTATCAACGTTGTTTATCTCGGTTAGTATAAATGATCCTCAGTTAATTCCTTATTATATTATTAAAGGAGAGAATACAGTACAATTACAAATAAAATGTATGTTGTGAAATTTCAATAGAAAAGTATTTTCATAATGAGACTGTAAAGTAACTGTATAATTACTTTTAACTTCAAGTGAATTAACAAAGAATCACAGCAGTGTAAAATTACATTAAACTTACAAAAAAATGTGCACCCACTGCAAATTTCACAATTACGCTGTAAAAAGTGAAAATGTGAAGTTTCTTTCAAATTAAATGTAACTTGTTACTTCAAGTTGGTTTAAAACTGAATACAGTACAATGAATTATTTGTTGTGTAATTGCAACTGAAATGTATTTTCACAATTACATTTAATGTATCAGAAAAATATAAAATTACTTCCGACTTTAATAGAATTTCACATTTAAGATTTAAAATTTAAAGTGACTCAAAAGCATGTAATTTTATTGTAAAATTGCCACTGTGTGTATAATTCGAGTTTAATTACAGTGAAACTCCATCCATGACAATAATTAAATCAGTTAATAATGATGTAGGTAAAATAAAACAATGATATAATTTAAATTACCGGTTTCGGACTTATTTGTCCTCATCAGTATGTCAGGTGAGACAACCGACAAACAATCTAGCTGTTTTAGTGTTGTATACTGTTGTTCGTTCGTTCGTCGGTTGTCTTACCTACAACATACTGATGAGGACCAATAAGTCCGAAACCGATCTATGTCTGGTGGGTTAAACTGACGAACGATCCTAGCTGTTGTACCAGGTGTTGCGAGTATAATTTAATGCCGGTCGGGGCATATAGCTCGTGGAGTAGTTGTTTCTCGCAGCACTGGCAATTTAAAACATTTTGTTTTCGCCCAGTTGACGACGGTCGTGCAAATAAGTACCTGGCAAATTTTAGCAGGTCGTTTCCTACTAGTAGTAGCCATTAGAATGGCGGAGTTGAGAAGTAGCGCGATAGATGGAGCCATTTGCGCTCTGTGTATAATGATATAATTGTTGATATATAATTGTAAAATTACATTATATATACAGAGCAATATTGTAATCAATTGTTTAGTAGCGCAATAGATGGAGCCATTTGCACTCTGTGTATAATGATAATGGTTTATGTATAATTGTAAAATTACATTATATATACAGAGCAATATTTTAATCAGTTGTTTTAAATACAATGTAAATTTGTCCCGCTGAATAAGTGCGCAAATTTTAAGAGAAAAGTAAATATCAGATCAATAAGAACAAAAGTTGAAAGAAAGCAATTATTCCTTGCCGGAGAAAGTTGTAAACGCGGAGTTCGAGTAACATTAAATCCCGTGAATGTGAGTTCATTATGATCAAACGTTAAAAATACTTTATTTAAAAGCAAAGGGATAATCAGTACGAGCGATTTAAGTAAAAGCATTCAACGAAACATGGCCGAACTTACTTAGATACAGTTAGCTAAAAACTTTCAGTCCCGAATTGCCCTATCAGAGGAACGGTGGAATCGACTTCGCATCTTTATTTGAGATTGGAACGCATTGATTAAAATGTAAATTTAACCCTATAAGGTAGTTTCCGCTTTCCATTTAAATTCTACTCATTTTAATTAATACCCTAAATCATATCACTTGTTTTAATTAAACAAATAAGCTATACTTAAGGTAATGTAAATATTATCATACTAAATATTTACAGTATAACTAATCTCCTACAGAAAATGTATAAAGGGTGTCCAGAAATTAACAGGACACAGAGCAAGAGTAGATTCCTGACGACAAAATAATGCAATGTGACCAAAAATACGGATGTCAAAGTTGAAATATTGAATTCACAATTCTCTTAGTTTTTAGAAAGTTCTCGATGAATTGCTTTGAAAATTTCGATTCGGGTTTTTTTTGGGGAGAGAAAAACGAATCCGTACTTAATTTTGTTCTAGACGCTAGAGGGTCCTTTAAAATGGTTGACATTGGTGGACAAAAAATTGATAAGAACTTCTTTCTTTCTATATACAGGGTCGGAAAGTCCCCATGGTTCATCGTCCGTTACGTGAGAGCGATAAAGTAAGTCATAGAAATCCGTGCGATAGAGAAGTATGGCTATAATGAAGGCGTCTCATAGTCACCACCCGTTTCGCCCTTCCACAAATAAGATCCACTTCCACTTGTAATTCAGCGACCGGTGGTCATCTTTGTTTTCGTCGTTTGCCTTTTCTTTAATAGATGTCACTACTTATACAATTCCCACTTCGTATTCCGATATGTTAATAGTTAACAAAGGGCAGCACAATTTGTATAAGATGAGGCGCAGCCCTAGAAAGAGTGATGCCAGATCTACAGATTTTTTTGGAATTGGGGAAATAGGGAATTTTGCTTTATTTCTTGGGATTTTTAAGTCATTTTAAAAAGTATACTTAAATAACAACTAAATGAACTTTAAATGCCGCTGAGCACTATACTCCATTTGAATAACTTCTCAGTAGGGGAAACAAGGTCACTAGATTTACAAACAGAGGTATCTACCAGCTCCTGTAAAAAGTCTTTGTTACGCGTTGTGCTGCCCTCTGTTAACGGATTGTATTAACATATCGGAATACCGAAGTCGAAATTGTATAAGTAGTGACATCTATTAAAGAAAAGCCAAACGACGAAAACAAAGATGACCACCGGTCGCTGAATTACAAGTGGAAGTGGATCTTATTTGGGGAAGGGCGATAATTCCAGATATTTCGAATTTTCACCACCAAGAACGGGGGTGACAAAATTTTTAACAGCAAGGCGATGTTTCGCATTCTATTAGCTATGTCCTGTCCAATGAATAATTCCAAATATTTCGAATTTTCACCACCAAGAACGGGGGTGACAAAATTTTTAACAGCAAGGCGATGTTTCGCATTCTATTAGCTATGTCCTGTCCAATGAATAATTCCAAATATTTCGAATTTTCACCACCAAGAGATTTCCTGTTTTTCCCATTGCATGTAATTTAATTTTCTCTCGTTTTAATAAAGGATGTCCCAAACGTAACGCAGGATTTGAATTGTGCGCCATTTTCTTTCCCAAGAGGTGGCAGCATTGTACAGAGTAACGTGTTGTAGTAAACACGTTGCGGTTAAACAAGATGCCGCGCTATACGACGGCTGAGGTGAAAATTCATTACAAATACGGAGAGTGTGTAGCTGAGATTGTGCGTAAATTACGCGAAATTTATTTCTCTTTTACGTAGTGTTATTATTTCTTTAGGTGTAGTTTCATATTTTTTCGTTAATTGCGTTCTGGTTAACAAGTTACTATTTTCAAAGTCTGTTTTGGACCATTTTATTACACCAATAGAGTATGTAAGAGAAGGTGTTGATAGCTTTAAACAGATTTTTCGAGTTTACTTTTGATTTAAGGAGCAGGCACAATTTCTTTTTGTATTGCCGCTCAAGATCTTGTTTTGTCCTGGCATGATCCAATTTGATTAAATTTGTTATTTATTTATTTAAAATTTAAAATTAAATTGATTAAAATCACATGAAATAGGCACTCCTCGGGAAAAGGTAATATAATTTGGGATACAGCCTGAATCGTCACATTTCAAAACTATAATTACATTGTTTTTAATTATTGATATTTGCGGATTTGCACGTTTCTTAGAATTGGTGGTTAGAGAGAGGCAATAAATAAGGGAGCAAACCCTGGTGCATACTCGACAATATGTTGATATCACCCGAAATTGATTCGAGTTTCTCTTTTTAAAACGGAAAAGTAATTCCCGAAAGTACGGTAGTGAGCATTGAGCGCGGGAATGTTATGCATTTAAAGAGGCTACAAAGGGTAAATGATCATGTAAACAGCTCGGTTCTCCCAGGTTGTGCGACTGTCGCTCAGTCCGCTATTCTCCGCACAAGAGTGTAAAATATCACCGTTCGCCAACCAGCTTCGAGCGTATACACCTACCTAGTTCGACCTGCTGCTGTTTTGCATGCTATAATGAGAACACATTT